TCCGGAGAGGTCAAACCTCCTGTAGGCCTGAGGCACCAATCTTGGAATGGCCTTACGTCTGGTTATATCGTAACAACCCCCTTTATAGAGAAAGAACTATATCGGTAAGTTTTATTGATTAAAGCTTTACTTCGTATAAGATCTCGGAGCCTATCTAGCCTATTAGATCGTATATTAAACTAGCTTATAAAGGGCTTCCGTCTTATAATATAAGGTACTATCTTACTCGCTAACGAAAATAAGGAATTACGCGCTGCTAACGAGAAGTAGAAGTAAAAGCATACTAGATCCCGGAGGTAGATACCCGCCGAAGAAGGCCTCTTAGTTTAAGAAGCTTCTTAATTGATTACTACGCCGGTAGTAGTGGATAAAGTACCTCCCCCCCCTCGGCGTAGGGCTATATCGCCGGGTTTATATTTATCTATACGGGGCCCACAACGTTGTAGTAGGTGTAAGAAACTAGGCCATAAAATCAATAGATACCTAGCTAGATAGATGATTTTAGTGTATTTAATTTAATAGAGTTTTGGTTGACATATTTACATTTGAAATTAATATATTAGTTGGGGTGCGCCACTCGCTTGCGTGCGCCGGTCGCTTACCGAATACGTTATAGTATCTTTGTTCTTCCATGTTAAGAGTTTTTGGCAACGTATACTACTTATATATAAAACACCTGTCCGCCAGGAGATCCCTTCCATATGGGTGTCCTCACGGAGGGCTATGTAATTTTAAATCCAAAGTAAATGGACTCTTTGCTCTAAAAAGACATAGCCAGTAACAATCCGAACAAAGCGCGGAGTTTATTTAAACTAGTCGTCGGGGTATTCATCCTTCATGTTACTAACAAACCTCCTGTCCCTCTCATCCCATCGTTTGAAATGCTTACCCGCAATGGCAGTCAAACTACTCGGCAATTCCGTGAAACGAGGTAGAATTATCCCAATGTTTTCTTCGGCCACATATCGGACACTTCGATCCGCCACACTATGCATCCATTGTTAGCTATTAGCCAAGAAGAGGATACAGGTACAACCCACAGCACATGATAGAAGCTTTGGTGCCTGCCAGCTTCTAATCGATCGATCCCCATTCTCCTCATCCACTGCTCACCGGCACCACATTCCGAGTCCCAGCCTGTGATAATAGCCTCGTAATGATAGCGACGATGGCGGAAAATCTGGCCCACCTTGTATTGTATATTTGCATTGCCACCAGTTCGCCTCCGAATCTGCTTTGGGATCTCATCCACAGCCCTCATCACATGAAGGCTCTCCAGTATGTGTTCACGCTCGAACAGTCCATGAAACAGAGGAGCGATGTACTGCTCGACTAGAAACGCATCAGAAGGAAAGTCCGTAGCGAACAATTCCATAAGCCATGGCAACTGATGGCGTAGATCCATCGGCCTCGAATCGCCCGATAGTAGCATCACAGACCAGAGCGCTGCGTACTTTGCGCTCACAACATCCATCGAGGTGGCCCGCGAGGTCGGATTTTGAGCTTCGACACGAATCGAATTCAATATGTTCTTACCACAGCGCAAGACAACGCCCGAGGTTGACGCTTCACCTAGAGTTGCGGTCTGGTCCATGTTGGGCATACCCAGAAATGTTAATTGGCTGCGCAGGTCTGAGATAGCCGTTTCTTTCGCACCCCGAAACGGGTCCAAATAAAGGGGCTCCCCTGGCTCCATCCCACTCAAAGCATTGCCATTGATGTCTGAGCCCACCTGGGGGGTAATGATCACATGCACATGGAACGGAAATCCACAAGGACGGGCGTTTAAGCCTACCCCCTGTGCAACGAAGCAGTATATCGCAGCTGACACCAACGGCAGTGAGTTATGCCCTGGATCCTTTAGAGCCAGCCCTAAAAAGTTATGCTCCAAAAAATGATATTCTCGCTCTGAATTTATCCCCGTGAGATCATTCACCTCTAGCCAGGATGCGATGGCCAATGCCTTCTCGCGAGGGGTGAAGAGGTAAAGGTCCGGGTGAGATGCGACAAAGCGGTTGAGGATCTCATCCAGAGAGTCTCGTATCTGGATCAGAGTCAGGTATAGATTTGTCGAGGGGTTACACTGAAATAAAACCTACTTCATCCAAATCCCCAGTTCCACTTTCGGGTATAAAGAGATCAAAGCAGGCCAAGGCTCTGTCGAGTGACACGGGTTCTCCGCGTTTGAGTTTTGCCCATTCTGGTATAGCAATGCTTCGGTGCAGGCAAGTCAAGAGCGCGTGGGCATAGTACCTTTTGTGGTTGGCACAAGGCACTGGTCAATTCAAGGGAAACATATGCCAACTTGCATAGAATTAGTAGCCCACCTTCTGGCCAAATAATCCTCCCCGGACTCTATCAGGCTATATCGCAGAAGAGTATCCTTTGCATCGTATCCCATATCGACAACACGGCGAAATTTATCGATCCGGCCGGTCTGGCTCACAAGAATACTATCAAGAAGCCGAGTGACAGATCGATCAACCTGATACTTGGACACAAACAAGGCTTTCCAATTGGTTGAATTCACTGGGCAGGAAAGCTTCCGGGGCATATCATGTCGCCCATCCCAGAACTTGTAATGCGACTGGCAATGGTGACGCCATAGTAAACGCTCATTCGTTACATTTTGAAATCGACTATTGGTTTGCTCGACGGCGGCGCAGGATTGAGGAGAAGAGTAACATAGAATCGAAAGCAGGATCTCGTCTGGAAGATGGATTAAAGACCGAACCATCCCTGTAGGTGGAATATTGATGATGGTTGCAAGGAAGAAGACAAAGGAAAGGGCAATCAGAACGGAATAAGACCCGGTTTACATTCCTTAATAAGTTCAGGAGAAGAAGATCAAATTAAAAGGTAGATCAGAGAGTTAGAGGGAAATAGGGAATAGGAAAATAGTGAAGGCAAGAAGGCCAGAAGAAGGTGCTTCTCCCCGCTTTTATTATCTCTCCCTCTTATCGAAGACGCCAAGCATTGAACCATCTTGGACTTCCTTTTTCTTCTTTTCTTCTTTTCTTTTACTTATACAAACTTATAGACAGTACTTTCACTTTTAACCTTGTTCTCCTTGAAATATTTGAAATGAATTACTAAAAAAAAGGCTTGTTTCAACTGCGAGCGAGTATTGCGGTATTCACCATCTTCCCTCACCATTCTTTTTCTCCCTCTTACACACTATGGGCCAATTCCATTCCACTAGCCAGGCTAGCTCAGGCGCTTCAGAACAACCCGGCCAGAAAACCGACTACTATGAGCTGCTTGGTATAACCCGTGGTGCAACCGATGAGGAGTAAGTTCACATGGAAATGTAGTTATGGACATAGCTAAAGCTGGCCCGACCTCTCAGGATCAAGAAAGCATATCGAAAAAAAGCTCTTGTATTGCACCCAGATCGGAATTATGGGAATGTTGACGAGGCTACCAAGCTTTTCGCCGAAATCCAATCCGCTTATGAAGTACTGGCCGATCCCCAGGAACGAGCATGGTACGACTCCCATAGCGATGCATTTTTAGGGACAAGCGGAAATACCGATGATCAACACTCGTACAATGTTCGAATCACAACAGCCGAAGATGTCCTCAAACTATTTTCGAAGTTCAGTCCTCGAATGGAATTTTCCGACTCCCCAACCGGATTCTTTGGTGGTTTGCGAGAGCAATTCGAACAGCTCGTGCTGGAAGAAAGATTGGCCTGTCAGTGGGAGAATCAAGATCCTATCGAATATCCATCATTTGGATCTGGTAATGATGATTTTGAGACCGTTGTACGGCCTTTCTATGCCGCATGGACCGGGTTCTCCACCCAAAAGTCATTCGCATGGAAAGATGCCCATCGTTATTCCGAAGCGCCTGATCGTCGGGTGCGACGAATGATGGAAAAGGAGAACAAACGTCTTCGGGAGGAAGGGATCCGAGAATTCAACGATGCTGTCAGGTCCCTCGTGGCTTTTATCAAGAAACGTGATCCACGGTACAAAATCAACGCTCAAAGTGAAGCTCAACGCCAGGAAACCCTCCGCCAGTCTGTGGCTGCACAAGCTGCAAGATCACGAGCTGTGAATCAAGCCAAGATGCGGGATCATGTCCTCCCGGAGTGGGCCCAGTCAGAGCAACCAGTGGCAGGTGAAGACCAGGAGAGCGAAGAGAGCGAAGTCGAGAGTTTTGAATGTGTGGCATGTCACAAATATTTCAAAAGTCAGAAGCAATTTGAGGCTCATGAACGTAGCAAGAAGCATTTGAAGGCGGTCAAACAGCTCTGCTGGGAGATGCGAATGCAGAACCACGAACTGGATTTGGAGTCCGCTGATGAAGCGAGTGCCAACGCAGCTACAACTAAACCTCTTGAGGTTGATGACAGGGAGGATGAGGTTTTTGTTGCCTCGGAGGTTGATCTAGGATTAGATGCCTCTGTGAAGAGCCATGACATTGATGCTGAGGATCGAGGGAGTTCACACTGTTCGGAGAAGATAACTCCTCTTTCCGAGCCAGAAACAAGTCCCCTTCCCGAACTAGACACTCCAACATCTTCGCACGATGACGATTATGCCTCCAGGGAATATGTCGAGACGAGGCTCCGCGCCGAGATGAATTCTTTGTCCACGGGTGCCAGAGACTCCTCTGATATACGTGATAATTCGGTCCCTTCAGACCTCACTGCGCAGTCACCAGCTCTCAAAATGGGCAAGGCCAAGCAGAAGCGGGCGAAAAAGGCCGCGAAGCAGGCGAGTCAACCCACAGGGTTCATCTGTGCAAATTGCCAGGCTCCCTTCACAACCAGGTCTAAATTATTCGACCATATTAGAGACCTCGACCACGCACAACCCTTGGCATGGTCTGTTGCTAAGAAGGGGAGGAAACACTAGTAACACATCCGTGAGCCTCATTTGCCGTTTTCCCTTAAAAAAAAGTCCGTCGACTCTTACATTTCTACTTTCTCTAGTTTCAACAAGACATATATGCGGAAATCTTCCCTTTCTTCCTAACACAACCCCAAACATCTAACCTAACCCAGCCCGCGAGTTCTTCACGACCTGTGCGACAGGCTGCAGAATTCCCTTGTTGTCGGCGGCACCTAGAGCAGTACCTGTACTCCACCCCATCTTCTCCAGCATGGCCCGCCCTCGGTTTTCAGCTCCGATTTCCGGAGCAGAGGCGCCAACCACATCGCCATCCATATACGACGCAGCGCCGGACTTTCCACGCTTAGTTTGCGAGAATTTCGGCACTTCTGTGCCCCATGATTTGTACAACCGACGGTTGAATTTCCTCCCGGATAAGAGCCCGTCAACGTTTGATATAGTCTTTGGTGTGTATCGTGGGGTGCGAGCCGTCTTATTGAGGACCGGGAAGCGAGAAAGTCCATGGCCGCGTGATTGTGATTTTAAATTCAGCGCATTGGCCAGTTCATGTATCAGCTTCCTGCGTTGCTTCGTCATGGGCGGCAAGGACAGGCTATATTGAAGTTAGCTGGGTCGATGAGGATGAGCAGATATAGAACAAACCTATTTTTAGCAGACATAAGGAATGAGCGAATCTCGGTCATAAATTCCTCCATGTTCATTTCCTTGGGGTACTTGACCTTGAGGTCTGGGTTTCCTGCTTTTCTGCCCAGTAATCCTTGCGCCCGGAGCTCTGCTCGCTCCATCTTCCGCAGCTTCTTTTTGGTCCGGTCGTTCTGCCAAACTTCCTGTAGCTCGACTTCGAACTCACTGTCGGATAGTACCACGTTAGGGATAGACTGCTTGCCCTTGGCTTTTTTCCGTAGACTTGACCGGTCAAAGTCCATTATGTCAAACCCGAAATATGGGTCAGACTCAAGAGCATCCGCAAATGCCGATGCCGAATGGAATGAAGGCTTTCCATAACGGGATACCTTCTTGGTGGACCCAGAATATCCGTTCGCCAAGTCCTCAAGCAGCACGAAGTCTTCAAGGGTGTCGTTATCTGATCCAGAGATGACCATATCGCCCTCATCATCTTCGCTTGATGTTGGGACTGAGTCATGTTCGGTATCGATTTGCATTTGAGCTAATGATCTTGGTGATTCAATTTTGGAGCCAGTGGGGCTCGAGGCAGACAAGTCTAGTTGCGTTGCGGCTTTTTCGACGTCAATATCACCTTCTAGGTCAATATTCGCTCCAGAATTCACTTCCTCGTGATAGTCATTATCGATGTTGGCAATATAGTCGGCTAGTGGGTCGGTCTCTTCTTCCGGTGGCCAGTCTGGTCTCTCTGTGTTGGATTCAAAGTTGTCTGTATGGGTAGCGGCGGGCGAGGAATCCCGGGGCGTGGAGTCCAACGTTGGTGTGTGCGATTTCTGCCTAAAGGCAACGGTAGTCGTCTGCACGATTTCCTGAATCTCGTTCTGACGCGTTTCGATGAGAATGGGTTTTGTATTCCTCCTACGGCCGGTGAACACAACCTCATCCTCACTCGAGTCGTCTATGTCCGATAAGTTCGAGTGCAATACTGGGTCCGGATGTTCGGTATAGACAACCCCTTGCCCCTTTGAGTCAAAAACGAATGGGACCTCGAGGTTGGCCGTTTTGTCCGGTATATTGTCGGTCTTTGGTTCTTCCCGGTCGGTGTCTGATTTTGTCTGCTCCTCGTCTGCCTGTTCCAATGCCGGCTTCAAAGTCGGTTCCAGGCTTCCCGCGCTCACAAAGTGAACGGATTTATGGCGAAGGTTGCTATCTGACCATGATCGCTGATGACTTTCGGTATTCCGAGCTTCTTGCTGCATAGTAAACTGGTGTGGCGATGGGTCTTTTTTTTAGAAAAAAAAACAAAGAAAAAAATTAATATTTATCAAGGGAATAGGAGCACAGTAATTACCTCTGGCCATCGGTGCCCGCCTAGTACGGGCCTTGAATTTCCCATGACGGGCCATGTGTGTTGGTGAATCTGATCTGTTGGGGAAAAAGAAGGGACGGGGGGATTCTTTCGCCTTTAGGTCGGGCCCGGGCGGTGACGGTGCTACAAAAAGGTAACAATAATAATAACTACATTCTATAGGACCTATTTGTGTTTTGTGTTCTTTTTTTGGGGATTTTTCTATATTTTCCACTAAAATGACTTCGATAGTAGAGTATAGGGTATAGGGTATAGGGTATAGAGTGTAGAGTGTAGAGTGTAGATTGTATTGTATACATTGTAGTCGGTGACGTCTTGGCTCGTGACTGACTACCCCCTCATCTGGGACATACCCCGACAAAAAGACCAACTTATTGTCTCTAGGACTTTGACCGTTTGACTTTCGTATCTTCCTTTTTGTTTGTGGTTTTCACTCGTTATTTTTATATCTGGGTCACTTGGCTTCGAATCACCGAGTTAATTTCCAGGTTGGAAAGAGAGAAAGGGAGAGATATATATATATCTACTCACCTCTGATCTTGAATCACCCACCATAACCACCATACCTACAACCGATCCACCACAGAACATCAACACTAACCATGACTGTGGACATGGAAAAGTGCAAACGCATAGTACAATACTTCTGGGACCCAGAACCCAGAAATGATGTACCTGCGGCGTCGATATGGTGCCTGGGCAGGGAGTATGCCCCCCCGCAACCACCCAGTGACCAGACCAGTGAGGCTCGATCAAGTGAATATATAGCCCCATACCCTACATCTAACACCTTCATACAGCCAGAAATTCACATAACCCCCCAAGACAGCCCGATCCTAGCACATTGAATGAGACAGCATGGCCAAAAGCATTTCTCTCTGATTTTGGATCGAGGATCTGGATCACGTATCGATCAAATTTTACACCGATCCCACGAACAAAGACACCAGAAGCAACATCCTCGATGACACTGGGGGTACGCCTGAGAAGCCAGCTGATGGACGCTCAGGGCTTCACATCAGATACGGGGTGGGGCTGCATGATCAGATCTGGACAAAGCCTTTTGGCAAATACTCTTTCAGTTCTATTACTAGGACGAGGTGAGAGATACACCCAATCATGTCTCAAAAAATCACACCAAAAAGACAAAAAGCATATCCCCCCCCAAAAATAGAGCTAATCAGATATACTAGACTGGCGCCGGGGAGAGAAAGTGGAGGAAGAGTCAAAGCTAATATCGATGTTCGCCGATCACCCCGAAGCTCCCTTCTCCATACACCAATTTGTCAACCGTGGGGCAGAATCATGCGGAAAATACCCAGGTGAATGGTTCGGGCCCTCGGCAACTGCTAAATGTATCCAGTGCGTGTTACCAAAACTTGAGCCATAGAGGTGATGCTGATGGCGATAGACTACTCTCAACCCAAAGCAAGACCCCCCAACTCAGGGTCTATGTAACCAATGACACATCGGACGTATATGAAGACAAATTCGCACACTTGTCACACGATAGCTCAGGTCAAATTCAACCAACACTCATCCTGATTGGAACCAGGTTGGGGATCGATAATGTCACCCCAGCATACTGGGATGGACTCCGAGCTGCACTGACGTATCCACAATCCGTTGGCATTGCAGGGTAGGTCTATGCATCTGTTCGTCCGTCCGACATAAAGTATGCGCTAACGAAAGTAGTGGACGTCCATCTGCATCGCATTACTTTGTAGGGGCTCAAGACTGTCACCTCTTTTTCCTTGATCCACATACCACTCGACCTGCAACATCCTATCGATCAGATGGGCTTTACACCCAAGAGGAACTGGGTAGCTATTACACCAGTAGACTGCGGAGAATCCATATTAAGGACATGGATCCTAGCATGTTGATTGGATTTCTCATCAAGGACGAAGATGATTGGGCGGACTGGAAGAAGCGAATCCAATCCACGCCTGGACAGCCCATCGTGCACATCTTCCCCAGTCAGCATCAACCAGATCATGGCCATGGCCGGGCGGAGGCTCTGGATGAAGTTGAGGCGCTGGACGATTCAGATGAGATGATGTGAGAGTTCTAGACAAACCAGAAGATGCACAGATTGCCATATTTTTTTTTAAAAAAAATAAAAAATAATAATAATTTGCATGGGAGGTTTTACCAGGAAAGAGAGAAATAGAATCATGATGCAATGCAATTAAGCATTTGGAATTTCGCGTTCTAGTAGGGGAGGCCAATCCATGCCTGCCCCAGACCCGAGTTATGTTACACCGCATTCACGTATCGAGTGGTAACCATTCAAAAAAAATCACCCATCGGGGAAAAGAAAATTCAAGCCATCCCATGACGCATTAGAAACCCGCAAAACACCCATAACCGACCACCTCAGAGCCCATAACAGATCAAGAGGTAGTAAAAACAAAAGCAAGCTGGAAATAAAACGTAAAGAAGCCGCTTATTTGGCGGAAGAAGAGTACTTGGTCACAGCCTTGGTGCCCTCAGAGACGGCGTGCTTGGCCAGCTCACCGGGGAGGATGAGACGCACAGAGGTCTGGATCTCCCGGGAGGAGATAGTGGACTTCTTGTTGTAAGCAGCAAGCTTGGAGGCCTCGGTAGCGACACGCTCGAAAATGTCTGGAATATGAAGTCAGAAAACATGACGTGACAGGAAAACGCGCAAGCGCTTGCGCGTTTTTCTTTGGTGTTGCGCGAAAAGGAAATACATACCGTTGACGAAGGAGTTCAGGATGGACATGGCACGAGTAGAGATACCAGTGTCGGGGTGGACCTGCTTGAGGACTGCAAATGAAGTCAGTAATTGACGCGTTTTCACTTGGTCGGGATGTTATTTTCAAGAATCGACTCACCCTTGTAGATGTAAGAAGAGTAGGTCTCCTTGCGGGTCTTGCCGCGCTTCTTCTTCTCGCCAGTGGCAGCGGTGGCAGTCTTCTTGCCAGCCTCCTTCTTCTCAGCAGGGGCCTTGCCACCAACGGGGGCCTTGCCACCGGTGGAGGGCTTCTTCTCAGCGGCCTTAGGGGGCATTTTGAATGTGATTTGAAAAGTTGGTTGAAAAAGAGTTGGAGAGAGTTAAAAGTGAAGATGGACGAAGCGTGTGGGTGGGAAACAGAGATGGAATGTGGAAGGGTAAGTTAGAGAGACGCGGTGACGAGGGGAGAGAGCATCTTTATACTCGTGTTCCAAAGGCCAGTTGATCCTGGAGGGGGGTGCAAAGGAGGCCGAATTTCAATACGGTAATGTCCTGGTATGATCTGTATGATTAACCCGACATTGACGCGTCTTAAGGTGGTAAAGGTGGGGTATAACCACGCTCAGCTGATTGTCAGGTATGGTAAGGAAGTTATATTACCACACCATTCCCAAAGCGGAATGTCTGATCTGATTGATCATTGGCTGCATCATCTAAGCGAGACCGTGATCTGGAGGGCCCATTGATGCTGCCCCAACGTCACCCTCACCGCGTCCTTATAAAGGTCCTCCGCTTCCACACGCTCTCCCACCTGCTCTTGCGACTTTACACCATAACTCAAGCTCTCTACCTTCAAACAACTCTCTTCTCTTTCCACCAAAAACAACTTCCCCCTTTTTCCAAAACAAACCATCAAAATGACTGGCGGAAAGTCCGGCGGCAAGGCTAGCGGCAGCAAGAACGCGCAGTCGTAAGTTATTTGTATTTCGCGTCCTATATATATACGTTTCATACTGACATCAGCATATTCAGCCGTTCCTCCAAGGCTGGTTTGGCCTTCCCCGTTGGCCGTGTCCACCGTCTGCTCCGCAAGGGCAACTACGCTCAGCGTGTCGGTGCCGGTGCTCCCGTTTACCTCGCTGCCGTTCTTGAGTACCTCGCTGCTGAGATTCTCGAATTGGCTGGAAACGCCGCCCGTGACAACAAGAAGACCCGTATCATCCCCCGTCACCTCCAGCTTGCTATCCGCAACGATGAGGAGCTGAACAAGCTCCTGGGCCACGTCACCATTGCCCAGGGTGGTGTTCTCCCCAACATCCACCAGAGTACGTTATCTCATCAACTGCCGGTTTTCATTGTAACATACTAATCTTATTTCCAGACCTTCTTCCTAAGAAGACTCCTAAGGCCGGCAAGGGCAGCCAGGAGCTGTAGGGTTCTCTCTTTTTTCGCGGGTTGTTTGTTTTCTTTTCCGGCGCGGATTGGTTCTTTGACACGATAATGGGGTTATGGGACGGGCACGTTATGGCTCTGCGTTTTCTCTTTTTTTTCCATCAATTTCCTGGTTGTACATTATGTCTACGGACATGGAATGATACCGACGACCTTAACTCGCTTGAGGGATTTCAACTTTCGGATACTAGCCCTGGGCATGAGCCCAAATCAATGAAAACCCCAGGTCTTTCAAGTGTTAAAATCTACCAACTTGCCTTTCGTACTTGATGTAAACATGTACAAATAAATGGTATTCTTGTGAACTTGTCGCTCTTGCGGTGGCTATTTTACATTGAAAAAAACGGATTTCTTGATTCTCGATTCTGTTTCGGGTACTCTACACCTGCAGGAAAGACGCATACTTTATATTGCATAGTTCATGTTTGCAATTGGCCCAATCCTCATATTGTCTTTTGCGATGGTGATTTGACTTAGTGTGCACCGGGAGGTTGGGCATCTATATTGTTTCATGGTTAGTGCAAATCCAAAAAGGTTGCATGTGGATGTAAACGTACATGGCAGGATTGGGGCCGGCAGGTTACGCTCCCATTTGTTGCCGCCGGGCGCAGTAGGTGCCCGGTATGGGTCGGGGTGCTTCCAGGTTACCAAGAGCTTCTCTGTCTCGCGCAGCAAAACCTAGAACATGTGTCAGGTTTGCCAATCATGGATTTTAGTGTCGCATACCTGTTGCTGGCGAGGATCGCGGACGTCCTTGTTGGCTTCGAAAAGGGATCGGATATAGACTGCTTGTCCACGCCAGATCTGCCGGTGGACAGCCCAGTCAAGAGACAGTTTCAGAGAGCGCCGGTAGAGCGACCTATAGTAGATCAGTGAACAGTCCACTAGAGAGACATCAGCCTACTCACTTAACAGCGGAGGTGGACATTGTGCACAAGTTTTGTCCCGGGTCCAATTCCGGCCAGCTGGAAGAGGAGAAAGGAAATAAAAAAAGAGTGCGTGTTGATAACACAGGTCTATCAAGCAGAAATGACAACCTTGGAGATTGTTAGGGTTCCTGGTGGACAATGGATCGGGGTTGAGGGTTTCAATGTCGTCAGGTTGACTATTCTGGGCTTCCTAATTCGTTCGGCATAAACCTGCTCAAATGATCACTGCCGGTCCCCGTACCACAAAACTGCTTAAATGGTCTCTCCCGGTCGCCGTATTGTAAGAAGAATAGTCTGTCTCTGCCGGAAGGGTGCCCGGTTTACCTTTGAATTCCGATCTAATCCGAGCTTCATCTTCTTTGCTTCCTCTAATTTTTAGAGTTGGAGCATTTTTCCCCTCTTACAAACCCGGTTTGGTTTTTCCCTAGCTGCGTAAATTTTGCTTTAATTCATCATGGCTTCCCGAATCTCTATTGCGCGTCTCTCGGGCCAGCGCTTCTCGGCTGTAGCCAAAACCGCTCCTCGGGCATCAAGCCAGTTCCGCAATATCAAGGGATTGTCTACCATCACGCGGAAGACTTCAGCTCGCTCAGCTTCGGGTTTGCTGCAGGTCTCTGCCTCCGGGTAAGTATCCATGTCATTACCATCCGTCGCAATTTTAGCTCATACAACCCTTCAGCATCAATGTCTCGCGACTCAATCTTGCTCCCCTAGGAGGCCACCAACTTCGCACCTATGGTAATCACTTTCCTTAAGCAGACTTGTTGGTCAATTGCTAATAGTGCTTAGCCGACTCCATCATCAAGGTCCCCAGTATGGCTGAGTCGATTACAGAGGGCACCCTCAAGCAGTTCTCAAAACGTATGGTGCTTTAGCCGTGGTTGAACATTTGACATTTGCTCATTCTGGTATAGAGGTTGGCGATTTTGTCGAGCGCGACGAGGAGATTGCGACAATTGAAACAGACAAGGTAAATACCAACAACTCTGTCCCCACCTCTCACGACTAGTTCTGTCGCTGACATATTTTGTTATTAGATTGATGTTTCGGTTAATGCCTCGGAGTCTGGTACCATCAAGGAGTTCCTCGTGAGTGAGGAAGATACCGTTACTGTCGGCCAGGATCTCGTCAAGATCGAGCTTGGCGGCGCTCCCGAAGGTGGAAAGAAGGACGAGGGTGCCGAGAAGCCCAAGGAGCCCGAACCCAAGCAGTCTGAACCCAAGAAGGATGCTTCGCCCGCCCCCGCCGAGACCGAAAAACCCAAGGAGCCCGAACCTAAGAAGGCTGCGCCCCCCAAGCAGGCTCCCAAGGCGGAGTCCAAGCCCCAAGCTGCTGAACAGCCAGCTCTTGGTGGCCGTGAGGAACGCCGAGTATGTTGACCGTCAATAGATCTTTGACCTTGACTTCAAGCTAATTTTGGTTTAGGTCAAAATGAACCGTATGCGTCTGCGTATTGCCGAGCGCCTGAAGCAGTCCCAGAACACCGCCGCTTCTCTTACCACTTTCAACGAGGTTGACATGTCGTCGCTGATGGAGTTCCGGAAGCTGTACAAGGACGATGTGCTCAAGAAGACCGGTGTGAAGCTTGGTTTCATGAGCGCCTTCTCCCGTGCCTGTGTGCTTGCCATGAAGGATATCCCCGCTGTCAACGCTTCCATTGAGGGTCCTAACGGCGGTGACACCATCGTCTACCGCGACTACGTTGACATCAGCGTTGCAGTCGCCACCGAGAAGGGACTTGTCACCCCTGTTGTCCGTAACACTGAAGGCAAGGATCTTGTTGGAATCGAGAAGGCCATTGCCGATCTCGGAAAGAAGGTGAGTAGTTGTTCTTCTGGAAGGCGGATGTCCAGTTTACTGACCTGTGATAGGCTCGTGACAACAAGTTGACCATTGAGGACATGGCCGGCGGTACCTTCACCATCAGCAACGTATGTTTCCCCCTGTCTTTGTGTATTCAAGAATAACACAGCTAACTTGTCCCAGGGTGGTGTCTTCGGCTCGCTGATGGGTACACCAATCATCAACGTTCCCCAAACAGGTCAGTTCTCCCGTACTATCTTTAGGGTTCGCATCTAATTGTATCTAGCTGTCTTGGGTCTCCACGCCATTAAGGACAAGCCTGTCGCTGTAAACGGAAAGGTCGAAATCCGTCCCGTACGTATAGACAATCCAGTCACTTTTTTCTTCGGTTTTACTGATGTTTCTAGATGATGTATTTGGCCCTCACCTACGATCACCGTCTCCTGGATGGTCGCGAGGCCGTTACTTTCCTTGTCAAGGTATGTCTACCTCCTCGTCCGCCTGAATCAATCACTAATCCCATCACAGGTCAAGGAGTACATTGAGGACCCCCGGCGCATGCTGCTTGGCTAAGTAGCATGAGTGTTTTGTCACGCGCCTTTTATTATCTATGTTCTCGTACCTGGAGCGGCCTTGCGCCCTTTGTAAATTATTATATTCCAAGATATAAATGCCATGTCAAGGACAGGTCTTGTTGTGGGCTCTAAGTACTATTCTACTATTCTACTATACTATTCTTCTGTTATGTGTGTACCGCTTTCAATCTTCATCGGCTGTTGAAAATTGATTGAGATTGAACTATCAATATGGAGATCGAATTAGTGTACATGTGATATTTGGGCTTTAGACAACTTGTGATCCACGGCGTTGGCTCTCTCTCGTGTGGCTGCTTGGATTGGTATCATTATACACATTCAACAAGCACACAGAAGGGCATGTTCTTGTATCCTTTGGATAGGAATATTAAATTCCACAATAGTTTCGAATCCACTGTGTCTCCTCCCAGGTCAAGCCTTCCAGTTGACCACGCTCCAGCTGAAGAAGAAGGGGCGCATCCAAGACCTCCATGAGATCCTCGAAAAAATCGACGTAACGATGCTGTAGCCATTGAAGAGGCCACCCCTCATCGAGCTCTTCTCGGCTCATTGGATCCGCAGTACCAAATGGGGGTGGCATGTACTCCAGGAACAT